TTTATAAATTCATTTTCCTAATATGCTATCTCCTCCATCACATAAAGATAACTGACTCACTAAAAATATCAAAACTATATTAGAACAAAAATAATAAACTAAGGACACCATCATTACAATGACTAAGCACTTGCTCAGGATAATCCCTCAATGATGACTATAATCCCCCAGTGATGACACTACAGTCAATTCATTTTCACCTTGACCTTCAGATTAATATACTACCAGCAAAGCAACTTGAAGTACATGTACACATGTACATGTACAGTTGTACATGTACAGTTGTACATGTACATGTACATGTATGCAAGTACTGAAACAGCTTAGGTTATGACACTCATCAATTTAAGTGGAAAGTTATTTTAGTGAAGAACATTAAAAGATGTCTATGTTAGTACATGTAAGTGAATTGACATTAACTTGATATTATTCATTAAAAAAACAATCTTAACTAGAGTGTACATGTACATACATGTACATGTACATATTGATGAATATTCTTTCTTTCCTCATTATAGACAGTACAGGCTCTCATTAGAAACCACAAAATGTGAATATTTACACATAAAAGAGTAGGAGAGAAATTGAATCACATTTATTACAGGGACATCAAAGGGACATTATTATGACTAACATACTGGAAGTGAATATAATCAATAAACATGTTTCATGTACACTGTACATGTATTAGAATTATACCCAATAGGCAGTGGAAGGTACCGTATGTATATGTTATTACACCCCTGCGAGTGCAATATCCGATTTACATGCACCGAGCCCGAGGGCTGTAGGCCCGAGGGTGAGGTACTGCATGTAAATCGGATATTGCACGAGCATGGGTGTAATAACAAATTTATATCCAATTGAAGCTATACGGTACAGGCACTGTGCATGCGCAAAGCAATTTTACACGTGACAAGTACCTGACAAGTAGAGGAGAGCTTAGAGATGGCTGACAGGAGCGCCCAAAAACTAGAGGTAAGTGTCGCTTTCATTAAAGAGAAGGAAGGTGGAGAGGACAGCGAGCGTTTAAGAAGAAAGAAGGAAGGTGGAGAGGACAGCGAGCGTTTAAGAAGAAAGAAGGAAGGTGGAGAGGACAGCGAGCGTTTAAGAAGAAAGAAGGAAGGTGGAGAGGACAGCGAGCGTTTAAGAAGAAAGAAGGAAGGTGGAGAGGACAGCGAGCGTTTAAGAAGAAAGAAGGAAGGTGGAGAGGACAGCAAGCGTTTAAGAAGAAAGAAGGAAGGTGGAGAGGACAGCAAGCGTTTAAGAAGAAAGAAGGAAGGTGGAGAGGACAGCGAGCGTTTAAGAAGAAAGAAGGAAGGTGGAGAGGACAGCGAGCGTTTAAGAAGAAAGAAGGAAGGTGGAGAGGACAGCAAGCGTTTAAGAAGAAAGAAGGAAGGTGGAGAGGACAGCAAGCGTTTAAGAAGAAAGAAGGAAGGTGGAGAGGACAGCAAGCGTTTAAGAAGAAAGAAGGAAGGTGGAGAGGACAGCGAGCGTTTAAGAAGAAAGAAGGCGGAAGGTGGTGAGGACAGCGAGCGTTTTGTTGCTGTATCGAAAGAGGCTTTAGAAGACCTATCCATCTATATAATGCCGAAAAACTCTGCTCTCAATAGTGATTTGCTTAAAAATTTAATTTTGTGTCAAATTGTCAATATTATTATTCAAAAAGTCAAAGGTCAATAATGTGTGAAAACCACAGTGCACTGTATCAAACATCAAAGGGATTTACATGCACTCAGTGCACTGTATCTGATTTATTGCACTGGTGGTCCCTTTGAAGTATAGCTTGAGTGGGAAATAAACTTATATAGAGCATGTGCATAACATGTGCCAATGCATGTGTAGTGCATGTGTAGTCACTTACTAGTATTACTAGAGCCAGAAGAAGGCTCTCTGCTCCTTGGAAAGACAGCAAAAGAAGTATAAGAGATACCACCACTTGAATTAGTATATTGACAAGTATAGACCCCATTAGTAACACTATTTATTGAAGTCTGGCCATTCTTTCTAAGATACCCTGCCTCCCTGTTTGTGAATGTAAGAGGTTGGTTAGAACCAGTTGGAGTGACTATTAATGTAGCATCATTGTTAGTGCTAGTGTCACCAGTGTAGCATTTGACCTCAGATACATCTTCATATACTGATATTGCAGTGTTGTTTGGTAGGAGTCGCCCTGGGGGAGGATTGTTGTACCAAACAGTTGTACCTTTGGGAGAAAAAAACAATGAGAGGACAGAGGGGGAGGGAGGGGGAGGTAGGATGTGAACATAAAAAGAGAGAGAGAGAGAGAGAGACAAACAATGAGAGGTAGAGAGAGATAAGGGAGAGAAGGGTAGAGACAGGGAGAGTAGAAAAAGAAAGAAAAAAGAATAATTGAAAGAGTACATGTACATGTACATTATACTAGTAGATGTACATGTACATGCATAAAATGGAAAAAAGGACAGAGAAATAAATGAATATATTTTATAAACATACATGCACATATATATGTAATTCATCAATCGGGAATTATAATGTTGATAATATAATACACGTGCATAATAGAGAAATGTGCAAAAAACAACGTGTAATATAAACACAACAAGCCACAATAACAATAATAACAATAATAATAATTATAACAACTACAATAAAATGTACATTAAACCATATAATACATTACAACACACAAACACACACACACCACGTGCCCAACTACTCAATACAGATGCAAATATGGACATACAAGTACATATGTACACATACTATATACATGTACACTATATACTGTACATACTATATACACTACACTACACTACACACACACAAACACACAGAGGCCAAGTACCCAATGCATATATACATGCACTCACACATTATGCAAATATGGACATACATACAATGTACCATTCATACATAGAAGTATATGTAAATGTACATATACATTATTCATAAGTACATGTACTGTAGCTACCTTGTACTGATATTGTATAAGTGCCAGTGTTTCCTCCTGAGCTACACACATGATCTCCTGTATTAGCTCCATGAAGGAACAAACCAGTAATGTTACTAGTAGTGACTGCTGACTCAGAAAATGATGAGGTCCATGAGTAAGTATTAGCAGTGCTAGAACAAGTTAGAGTGATATTCTCTCCTGCTTGAAACACAGCTGGAGAGGAGCGGGGAGGAGTTGAGGTTATGGAGACATTACCAACAACTGGAACAGAGAGATTAAAAATAAAATTAATAATAACAATAATAATTAGATAGAAATAATTATGATACTAATAATATATGTATATGCAATCATAAAGTACATGTGTTTAATAATACTTGTGTTACACTTAATTGAGGAATGTGAAAATAAAAATTATTACTAATGAAGTAATGATAATTAAAAAAATATAAAAATTCATGTCATAATATACATGTATGTGTATTACAGTGTACATGTGATAAAGTATTACTAAAGGAAACACTTATACATTTATTTAATGTAAACGAGTACAAATAAAATGTATATTAGGTAAACAACTCATGACTTTAATTTCTCCCAAAAATCACTAACCACTTGCAAGTTGATTTCACACTAATTTAAAAAGTACAAGCGTGAAATGCAATAAATAATAAACTGAAAGAGAGAGACACAGAGATATTCCTAGTATTAAATCTATGGCTATTGATATAAATGTACATCAGGATACGGAGTGGTTGGGTTGATGGGATAAAATGAGCCCCATATCAATTAATCCTGATTATACCGTATACTGGGAAATTTTCGAGTAGCCAAATTTTCGCGGATTTCGCGTTTTCTTGCTCCGTCGCGAAAATAAAAATTGTGAAATCCTGAATTTCCATTGCCACGTGGTGGAGTTACAAACTATTCGCGAAAATATTATTTTGTGAAATCTTACAAATGCAAAACTCGCGAAAATTTAGCGACGCGAAAATATCCCAGTATACGGTATTCCACGTTATGTTCTACCTTACCTATTAGTGGTGTCAATAATAAGAGACACAAGATAAAGCTCCCTCTAGAAGACATCTGAAAACAGGATCAGAGAAGGAGAGAGAACAAAAGACAGAGAAAGCTGAAAGCGACTTTCTCATTAAAATTCGTAAAGTAACGCCACGCCTACTAATCATGACACGTGGGTGTAATGCGGAAGAGTCCGAAGTTAGTGCACGCTAAACACGTGCTGAAAAATACCAAGCTGTTTTTGAAAATGCTGCTGATAAGTACTATGAATTAAAATAATGCAAGCATTCACACACGTCTAGAAAATAATGTGACTAAAATACAATAATATGGTACACCTAGCAAAGAGCATATAAAATTTTGAACAATTTGTACACAAAGAGTTGATTAAGTTATAAATCAGACTTATCAGTCACAGTTGGTATTTCATATTCAGTAGAAGGTCGTGGAAGAGAAGTCTCACATTCATCATTAGTTGTATCATACACTGGCTCAACAGTTGATCTATTAATAATAACTTTAAATAATAATAATAATTGTATTTTATATAACTGACTGAGTTTGTTGTACTGTATCATATGCTGGACTGTCCTTCACTGGTATATCATCAGCAGTACTGTATGTGTGTATATACATATTGTATTAGTCAATAGTGTAACTAACTTTGTTTTAAATTCAGTTACATCATAAGCTGGACTACAATCCATTACAATCTCATTATTGGATTGTCTGAGAACCACAAACTTCAAGTTAAGTAATGATTGTGTACATTTATATACCTCTTTTGATTTTGAGTTCTTTTTATGTATATAACCAGTATTAGTATAACAATCATAGATACAGTTAATAGTGATGTTGATACAGTCACGCCAACTATCACTCCAGTACTTCTTCCATTATTCACTAATACAGTAGTTGATACAGTAGTTAATGCAGTAGTCAATGCATAGGTATAAATATACTTAACATAATACTTAATAATATATATTTAGGTATGCTTAATGAGATAGATATTGAATGCAATTAAGTAAACTGATAATAATGGATTTGTGTTAGTTTACTTGTTGATCTTTCTGTAACAGTGACTGGTGAAGCAATAATAGAAAAAACCAAATCATATAAAAATGATATGTCATAATATAAGTACTTAGCATTAGAATACCTAAAGTACCTGGTGGTATTGGTTGAGTCCTCTCTCCTTCATAAATGATTCCATTAACATTAAATGATGCAGATATAGAGAACAAGTAGCTCAGATTAGGATCTAATCCTCCTATTAGACCTTCAGTAGTACTACCTGGGAATACTCTCATTCCTGTCTCTACTTGTCTCTTCTTTCTTGAGGAGCTACTGGTTGACTCATAATAGACAGTATAATGACTAGCTCCAGAAACAAAACTCCACTCAGCCCTCACTGCTGTAGAACTGAGCTTTGTTATAGAAAAGATTTCAATGACAGCTAAAATAGAGTTTAACGACAAAGGTAGATTATTATACTTACGTATTTGAGCAGTATTAAATTCTTTATCAGCCCACTTTCCCGGTCCAATACTAGTATATGCTCTCACTCCAATAGTATAACTAGTATTAGGTATCAATCCTACTATAAAGTAATAAGTGTTGGTAGTGTTAGTTATATTGTATCGATCAGTACTGGTAGACTCTCTATATCTTATCTCATATACTGTAATGATACCATTAGGTATTGTAGGAGGATTCCATACAATAGTTATTGCAGTTGGTGACCTTGCATGTCTTAGATCAGATATCACACCAGCAACTGTGTTAAGATCATGTTAAACTGATCAATATTTCATTGACTTACTTGATTCAGTAGTTACTTGTATTCCTTGTCTAGCTGGTCCATTCATATTATAATTATAAGGTATTATACTCACAGTATAGTTAGTATATGGTATTAATCCTGTGAGATTATACATTCTGTTGTCTCCTCCAGTGATATTAACAGTATAACTAGTGTTTGAAGTGATGTTAGTGTATGTGAGGTAGTATCCAGTAATTGGTCCATTCCTTCCATTGCAAGGTACTTCATCCCATGAGACAGTCATTGACACTGACTCTACTGATGAGAATATAATATCATCCACTGGTGCAGTAGGGGCTATAAAAGTAAAAAATAATAAAAAGTTAATGGTATTGCTTACTTACCAGTTGAAAGTGTAGTATTAGCTAAATAATTAGTGGTCAAATAAACTCTCAGAGATCCATATACTCCAATAAGATCAAAGGTACATTGACTGTAAGGAGGTATACCAGTTGAAGTATGTGGTGATGAAACTGATGTTTCACTATTACTAGTGACTAATGATTCACATACTCTCCTACATCTC